CTCTCAGTGCTGCAACTTGAAGCTTTAATTTGTTTTCCAGTTCTTTCAACTTGAGAAATGCTGAGCAAGTTCTTCCCTTTTTATTCTCTAACCGCAGCTATTTATGCATTCTATTTAAAAAAAAAAACACAAAACACCTGTTTAAAAGGGATATGTCATGACACGAATCCAGAATGAAGGTTGCATAGTGGAGTGGACTTTGGGGGAGGGATTGTATAACAATGAATTTTTCTTTTACTTTTCAAACAGAAGAATGAACTGGAGGAAGGGGTGGGCAGGGAGAAAAGTGCAACAATGAATGAATTGAAACCCAAAGTCTCTGTAAACTTTCAGAAAAATTAATAATAAAAAATTAAAAAAACAAATGTATAAATTCGATAAAATTTCTCCCTTCAAGGAACTTACATTTTCAAGTTGTTGTTATGTGCCATCGAGTCACTTGTGACTCATAGCAACCCTATGTACAACAGCCCTGAACTTTTTTCTATCCTGTGCCAATTGCACTGTCTCTGACACTCCCATCCCGATTACCCCAGTCACTGAATCAATCCACCTCATAGAGGGCCTTCCCCTACTGCGCCGTCCCTCCACCCTCCCAAGCATGATGTCCTTCTCCAAGGACCGGTCTCTCCTTACAACATGTCCAAAATATGTTAGACCGAGCCTCAGTATCCTTGCCTCCAAGGAGCCACCCGGTTTAACCCTTTCCAGGATGAATCTATTTGTTTTCCTAGCAGTCCATGGTACATTCAATACTCTTCTCCAGCACCACAGCTCAAAGGCATCAATTCTCCTTCTATCCTCCTTGGTCATTGTCCAACTCTCTGATGCATAACAAGTGATTGCAAAGACCACAGTCTGTATCAGGTATCAGATGCACCTTAGTCTCCAGAGAGACACCATTGCTCTTCAGTACTTTGGAAAGGTCCCTAACAGCAGACTTTCCTATGGCAATATGCCTTTAATTTCCTGGCTACTGGTACCAAGAGTGTTGACTGTGGAGCCAAGCAAACTAAAGCTTTGAACATTCTAAAGTAGGTTATAGTAAAAGAAAGATAATGAAAGGACCATCATCACAATTAAAAAAAAATACCCTTTTTATTATATTCTGGTTTACTTATGAATTCTGTATACATGGTTTTTCACACCAGATCTTTCCTATTTCCTTAACCCACTCCTCCCTCCACCCATCAAATTGTGTGACCTTATAATTAGGTGTCCCACTCACCCTCCTCCCTGTTTTCCCCCCTCCTCCTCTTAAATCCTTTATATGTTTTACTAGTTATCTATTTCTACAATAATGGTCTTAGTCAGTATTTGTCCTTATGGGACTGAGTTAGTTCACTTTGCATAATGCTCTCCAGTCCCTCCCAAGTTATTATTTTGTCCATTCTATTATAATACATTGTTTTGTATGCTCAAGCTGTCCTTTGAAGCTTTTCATTTAGCATCTCTCCCATTTATTTTGGCTCCTTTATATTTCAGTGCCATTTTCAGTCTCTTCTGACAGCCACTTTGGCCTTTGCTTCCTCCTCTGTCTTTGTAATGACATTTCGTTCTCTTCATGGATGATATGTCTTTAAATCATAGTGTTCAATGCATTAAACCTTCTGGTCTTCAGTCATTGTATTCAATGCCTTAAACCTATTCTTGAAATTATTTTTAACTTCAAGTGGGGTAGACTCACAGCTGTGCTTAAAAATATGTCCCTAAAGTTGGAACACAATTAAAATACAAGGTGGCTTTATAGCACACAATGATTTGAGTATATCAGCATGCATGAAGATGACAGAGGACCAGGTAAAATTTCATTGTGCTGTTCACAGGGTTGCAACAAATCAGACCTGACCTTGCAGCAGCTAGAAGCAGCAGTGCTTCAGGTGCTATGCAAGGAATTTTATATGTATAACCTCATTCCTTTTCTTAAAAACATTAAGGAAATTCTATGTTATCTCGATATTAGACATTAGAAAACCAAAGCTCAGAAATTTTTAAATAACACACTAAGTTCTATAACCAAAGTCAAAGCTGGAACTTGAACCCAGGTTAGCCCCTCTAGCTGCAGCCTCTGTAGCTGGGACACACCCTTTCCTAGCCGAATGACTCACTCCTTTCTGAACATCAGCCTCATAGGGCTCATGGGGTCTACAAAATCTGTACATTTTAAGGATCAACCACATTTCCTGAAATCAACTATTTGCTATGGCCTGCCAAGAAAACAGATTCATCCTGGAGAGGGTTAAAGCAGGCTGCTCCTTGGAGACAAGTATTCCGAGGCTTCGTCTGACATATTTTGGACATGTGAGGAGAGACCGGTCCCTGGAGAAGGACATCATGCTTGGGAGGGTGGAGGGACAGCGCAGGAGGGGAAGGCCCTCTATGAGGTGGATTGATTCAGTGACTGGGGTAATCGGGATGGGAGTGTCAGAGACAGTGCGAATGTCACAGGACAGAGCAGAGTTTAGGGCTGTTGTACTTAGGGTCGCTATGAGTCGCAAGCAACTCAATGGCACATAACAACAACAATATTCTTGAAAAAGATTTTTTTATCTGCTTCATTTAGAAATTAATAAACTACAGGCACAATAATCGACACACCCTCTCTATTGTAGTGCAAAAATCTCTGATAGTATAATATATAACCTATCTATATCTGGCTTTCAATCATAAGGTTGACAGTTCAAATTCATAAGAGGCTCCTTGAGAGAAAGATAGGCCATCTCCTCTCCTAGATATCCAATGGAGGGTGGCAGTGAGTCAGAAGCAACTCTGTGGCAGTGAGTTTGGGATTTATATCATTACATACATTTTAGCACCCATATGTAAATCTTTGGGAAAATTTACTATGATTTCTAAATGTCTTAATATCCAAAAGATATCTGTATGTGCCTTGAAAACACACCTGGAGCTCAAAGTCAAAAGGCATAGAGGAAAAGTCTCAAGAGACAATGGAAATAACACAGCCTCAGACAGATATGGACAGATCAACTCCAGCTCCACCGCCTAATAGCTTTAACACTTGACAAAGTTAATCATTTACTTGAGTTTCAGTTTACTCATCTATTCATAAGCAAGACACTAGTCTCTACCTCACTGAATTATTGTAAAGTTAAATTTAATAGTGCAGAGAGTGTACAGCTTCTAGAATAGTGTCCAGTAGTTGTTTCTCCCCTGCTATACCATTAAGAAATAACAATTTGATAGAGTTCATGAATGAAGTCATGAATAGTGACAGGAAACTGTGTCATAGTTTTACTGAAATTATGGCTAGCTTGTCAACTGGTTAAAGAATTATAAAACACCCACTCATACCCACAATCAAACATCACGAAAGCCCTTGAGAGTATTTCCTTAAAGAAATCATTGATGAAAGATCAGCTGTTGTGGGAGCCCAAACTCCTTAGCACTGAGAGAATACCTTAAGCAGATGTAGAAGGGTCTGTGTAGACACCAGGGGTAATGGAGGACTAGAAAAGGAAGACTACCCTTTCCTTTAATCTCACTCTTTCCCTGGGGAGTCAGAGAAGAAAGCCTATGCTCTTCCTTAATCTCAGAGAAGAAAGCCTACCCTCTTCTTTTATCTCAGTTTCTCCCTGGAGATTGGACTTTCACCTTCAAAGAAGTATCTTAGGGTACCAGTAGGGAAGAGTATCAATTATAGAGTTAGATGATTGTTGCTTTTAGGTGCTGTTGAGCTGTTCATAGTAACCCTCTGTACAACACAAAGAAACACTGCCCGGTCCAACCTCATCCTAATTGTGCTCAGTATCTTTGCATCTATTGATAGAACTATCCGTTAAACTGTTAATTAAATCTGTATTTAAATATTTTACATTATTATTATTGAAGTACTCTTCCTCTTCAAGGAAAAGTATTATTATAATTTATTATTATTATTATTATTATTATTTCAATGTGTCTGGCAGAGAAAAGGAGCTGTGCTCTCGTCCTCTTTAGTAAGTCATATTGCTAATCCAAAAGCTATCTCAGGTGGTTCAAGTCGACTTATGGCTCTAAATGTGAAAGATGGTCAACCTCCTCTTGCTGTGATTTACACCCAGAGAACCCTCAGGAAGGTCAGCTATGAGTCAGAACCAACTCATCGACAGGAAGTTTGCGTTTTATATGATTTTGCTTTTTAAATAAGGGAACCAGTTGCTTAAAAATCTCAATTGGCCAATGGTCAAAATATGCTTTAAATCTGCCAAGAATGCAGCCGGAAGCATCATATATTAAGATACTACAATCATAGTTTAATGCAGAGGTAAAATTCTATGTTACACTCTTGTTATTTTTCTTTTGGTAAATTAGCTAATTTTATATAGTTTAGTATATAACAAAGAGGTACTATTAAAGGTATCATAGACTTTGACTATTTCAAGTCATCTTCTTCTTGTTATTTACTGTAGAGTGAGGACCGACCCATCGCTGACCCTCCAGCAGGTTTTCAGAAGCAGTTAATCACATGGGAGATTGCCTACTCTTCTCCCAGAGCAGCTGGTGCTCTCGAACCCTGTGCATTTGGGATTGCAGCACAGCTTCTTGTCACTATGCCACCAGAGCTCCCTTCAAGTCTTATTAACACAAATATTTTGTTTCTGAGACCCATAAACATTGATCCTAGAGAAGTTATAGGGCATACCATAATACCAGCACATTTAAAGAAATAGCTACATCTCATTAATCCCCCTTTATGTGCATTTCTTCTTCGTTAACATCATTGCACATAGCACCTTAGAACATCTTTGAAAGTTCCTTCAAAAGAATTTATTTACTTAAGAAAAAAAAATATAACCAAGCCCACTACTATGTACTGAATTTCAAATTGTAGCAACTAGGACAGAGTAAAACTATCCGATCAGGTTTCCAAGACAGTAATCTTTATAGAAGCAGATGGGTACAAACTCTCTCCATGGGTTCAAACTGCCATCTGTTCACTTAGCCACTGAGCACTCACTATAACAACCAGGCCAATCAGGGGTCCTCCAGCATTTACTTACCATCCTTTTATTTTTTTGTGAAGATGATGTTTCTTGTGTAAGAGAACTTTTACAGGAACCCAAATCAGTAGAGTTACGGAGGCTACGTAGGCAATTGAGCAGGAAACAATAAGCCAATAATGTGTTTTCTCAGATGCATTCCTTTTACTATGATAGGCAGTGGCAAACTGCTCCATAATCACAAGTGTGGGAACGGAGAACGCAGCAAACTCCAGCAGCTCAAACACCACCAACTTAATTAGTCTTCCAGAAACCATCTTGGGCAACTACAAGCTGATGAGGATAAAGGCTACCCTTTGGATTGTGAGCCGCAGATGGGCACAGAGATACTGAATGAGGAGCAAGTTCCTCATACTCAAATCTCATACTAACCAATGACTTTTTATTCTTTTATTGACCCTCACATGGTTCAATGATCTTCTAACCTAACAACAGGGATCTTAAAGAGACAGAGCAAGTATAGAAGTGATCACTTAATGTACTTGCACATTCATTACTAGAACTGAAATAGACTTGATAGTGTGCTTTTGAGCACTGGTATAAACAAAGTTTTTGATATAGTGTGGATTAGTGATTTCTGCACCATGAACATTTACTCAACACCTGTTATGTAGAACCATTAAAATAGTATCATATTAAAGTTAAATGAGAACATACAGTCAATCTCCTGTTTTAACAACTAAGAAAACTCAGGCAAAGAGAGACATTTCTAAAATGGTTCTTGTGTCTTCAAATGTTTTCAAAAAGAGTTTAAATTTGGTCTGACAAATTTCTAGTCAAAATTCTTCCTGATACTTAAAATCCTGACTCATGTTTGCTCCCTAGTTACCACTGAACACAGATTAATGTTATTTTTATTTTGGTAGTCAGGCAACTAATAAGGTGATATGAAAAACCTGTGACTGCATCAACAAATTAAGAGCTATTCACTAATCCAAAAGCATATCAAATATTTCAAATCAATCATTATCTCCATAAACACATTTTCTTAAAAAAAAAAATTCAGCACTTTACTAGGTGTTGGGATGTGAAAGTAAATGAATGACAGAAAGTCTCCTCTTGTGAAAATACTCACAGTCCAAGGGAGGAAGCAAGCCAGCGTATAACAAAAGTAACTAAGGTCAGACACATAAACTAAATGCTTATGATAATACAGTGCAGAATTTCACCTTTGGACTGTGAGAAAGGGAGGGATAGATAAGGACATTGAGGCCAGATGGTGATAATGAGGTATCAGGGACATTTCAAATAGACAAAAAGAGGACATTGCAAGGCCAAGAGGCTACAATGGTTAACATGAGTTGAGAAAAGAGTCTCTTGTGCGTGGAAGGAAATAGGAGAGAACGAGGTTAGAGAAATAGGGTGGAGTCGAAATGTGTGTCCTATTAAGGATTTGGTATTTGTCTGAGGGGTGGGGGAAGCAGGTGGTGTGCACTTTCTATATTGAGAAGTCATATAATCATTTGGAAAAGAATAGTGCTTGTGTGGAAGAAGGTATGAGAGGCTTCAAAATGGGGACAAAGCAGAAATTGGGTAGGAGTCCATGAGAGAGTCCAGTTAAAATATTAGGAGCAGAGCCAAGGAGAAGGGGGGGACTGAATCAACGCTGACTAATTATTCCCGCTCCAAAGAAGGGTGACCCAACAGAGTGTGGAAACTATAGAACAATATCATTTATTTCACATGCAAGCAAGATTCTACTGAAGATTTTCCAAAAACGACTGGAAGAGCACATCAGCAGAGAACTGCCAGAAGTCCAGGCTGGGTTTAGAAGGGGTTATGGTACTAGGGATATTGTAGCTGATGTTAGAAGGATCTTTGCTGAAAGCAGGGAATAACAGAAGAATGTTTATCTGTGTTTCATTGATTATGCAAAGGCGTTTGACTATGTGGATCATAACAAACTGTGGCTGACTCTGAAAAGAATGGGAATCCCAGAACACTTCATCGTGCTAATGAGAAACCTATACTTGGACCAAGAGGCAGTCATCAGAACAGAGCAAGGAAACACTGCATGGTTCGAAATTGAGAAAGGTGTGTGCCAGGGATATGTCCTATCTCCATACCTTTTCAACCTGTATGCAGAACAGATTATCCGAGAGGCTGGGCTCTATGAGGAGAAGTGTGGTGTCAGGATTGGTGGAAAATCTATTAACAATCTGCATTAGCAGCCCAATATGTCACATGCATTATGTCACTAGGGCTCTTTTCTCCTCTGTATAGATTTTCCATATTCTCCCTCTCAAAGCAGAATGAGTCACTCACCTTCTGTGTAGCACTTATTTCCCTATAATGATTGTTTAGGTCCCTTTAAAGTCCAAGTCTATGCCTCTGTGCATAGTCATTTGTCATCACAGAACTTGCAACTAGTAGCCAGAAACTCCGACTCCGAGCAGCCCTTCATGTGTTAATGTAGACCCGTACATCATAAAGTATTCAAAGTCTGCTTTTTCAGAATTAGATTGCTAGGACTTTCTTCTCAGGTGCCGCTGGGTGGCCCCAATTTAGCATCCAAGCACATGAACTGCTTGTACTGCCAGTCCCTTGATCAATAATGCACAATGCATGGTTGAATAAATGAAAGATAAGTCCTACTGTCTCAGGACGATAGCCTTGGGGCACATCAAAGGCAGCTGGCATGGCATAGTCCACAAAATCGTCCATATCTTACTGTATTGAGCAACAACTGGTGTCTTAAAAACCTGTGAGCAGCCATTGAACATCCACCCATTGGTCTCTCCCTACTGGAAACAACAATAAAGATAATTAAAGGCATGTTTTAAAAAAGTAGTCTAAAAAATTTTTTTTTAATTAATGTTAATGGAAGTTTACAGAGACTTTGGATTTCCATTCATTCATTGTTGTACTTTTCTCTCTGCCCACCTCCTCCCTCAATTTTCTCTTCTCTTTGAAAAGTAAAAAGAAAAAGTATTTCATTATTATATAATCCCTCCCCCCAAGTCCACTCCACTATGCTGCTTTAGTTCTGGACTCCTGTCATGACAATAATACCTAATCATATAGTCCTTTTAAACAGTTCTCTCCCTCATCTGTTTCAATGTAATGTACGTCTTTTATCCCTTCTTTCTCAGTCTCCCCCCAACCCCTGTCAGTCCTCTTTTATAACAGTGACATTTATGCAGTATTTGTCTTTTTGTGACTGAGATATTTCACTCAGCATAATATCCTCCAGGGCCACCCATTTTATATAGCATTTCATGGGTTCCTTGTTTTTCAATGCAGCATAGTATTCCATTGTGTGAATATACCAGAGCTTCTCTATCCATTTGTTTGTTGATGGGCCTTTGGGTTGTTTCCAACT